TTAAGTGACAATGGCATTCCTTCAACAGACAGAAAATGAAATTCATGTGTTTAATTTTCTATACTGTCTAGATTTGGCTGCATTGAAATCCCACATTTGTTTAAGCTCTCTGAATATACTGTATTCTGTCTCCACAGGTACTGGCCATATTTAGATGGGAAGATAAGAGAAGCGTTAGTTTTACGAAGTATTAAAGTACGACTTCTCATAAGTTTCTCAAGAGACACAGATCCCCTTACTTTTAACTTTGTTTCATCTCTGAAAGCTATTTGCACTGAAGTTCCAAGCTGTAGTTTGAAAGTTGTAAGTATAATTCCTATTACTTTCAAATCTAAGATATTTCCCACCCTCCAAAATAAATCAGGAAAACTTCACAACTGAGAAAATTTTTCTGCCACTATAAAAGACTTTAAATTTCATTAAATAACATAGGAAATAATATAGTGAACTCTTAATCTGCTAAATTATTTTGACTTCTTAAACTCATAATCCATTAAATCATTCTGGCTTTTAAAAATCAACAGTTGTAAAAAACAAGTCCTATTTGTGTTATACACACTAAGTGGTATTTATGTATATCTAGAAATTGGGATTTTCGTTACAACACACACTGTTATTACAAGTTTCCTGGGTAAGAAGCAGCATAAAATGTGTGTTTTAAGTCAAAAAGCCCATACATAGCTGACACTGCTGAAGCCACTCCAATTCTGAGTAACTTCTAGCTTGTTCCATATTTAGCGTCTATGTATGTATTCAAAATTATTTTTATGTGGCATCTAATGCTTCACATACTCATACCCATTTCTATCCATTTACAGCAGGCAAAATCTTCAGTACAGAATTTATTTTCTCAAGAACTAAATGCTAAAAATAAAAAAGTTATTTCTAGATATCTGTTCTAGCCAGGATCAAAGTGAAGCAGAACTATGTGTGTGGGGGGGGTAGAGGAATAGACTAGCAAGGTGAAAAACTAAACTTAAACCTTCTGAATTGCTTTTCCCTTTTGGTTCTGCTTTGCATATGAGAAAACATGAAGTCAAACTTCACTCTACAGAAAATCATAGAATCATAGCATGTATTGGGTTGGAATGGTCCTTTAATGATCATCTAATCCAACCCAAAGTACTGTAATGCAGACATGTATCCTGTGTGTTTATATATAAGAACACTGAAATTTTAAGAGAACTTTAAGTGACAAGATTGAAATCACACTTACAACTGCTAAGCTGTCCAAATGTCTCAATATTGTCCTGACAGAAATGTCACTGCCACCCCCCCTTCTGTTCTCTCAGGGATAATACTCCAGTCCTAAGCACATTCAGTTGCATTTTTTTCATTTAGCTTTTGATCCCCGTGATTGTTTTCTTTTTTAACATGCCTATGGCAAGACCAGTTTGGGTAAGAAGTTCCCAGTGAGGGCCCGGCTTGCAGCAGGGGACGCTGTCTTGACACAGTCTTCGTGAATGATTTCTCTGTTTGATGGGAAGCTCTTCCTGACTTCCCCTGGGCTGTGCCCAGGCTAACATTGGTTTTGCCACTGCCTAACTGCAATATGTAGTCAGAAGCTGTTCCGCCTTGCAGTGTCCTGAGCAAAACGAGCTGCCAGCTGCTGTATGTGGGATTTTTGCTCAGGCGCGCAGTTGCAGTCTTGATGTTGTCTAAGAACTCACCCCTGATACCTCGTAAACTTTCCTTTACAGCTGCTAAGATGGTTTGTTCTGATCTTTTAAAAAGTGTAATGCTGTAATTGTTTTGAAGTTAAAAATCTGTAATTAGAGGTATGATTGCTCCATGCAGCTTAGTTAGATATGAATATACAATATAAATCTCATTTAAAGCACAATACTACAGTTTTAAAATTCAAAATCCTATCGTTAGAATTTTGCTAGTATTTGAACTCATGACAAAACAGCTGTGGAAAATAACAATGTGCAGGCAAGCAAGCATGCGGTGACATACAAAATTCAGAGACTGTTTAAGGAAACAACTTTGTGATTGTTATTGATCATAAAACTGCACCGCAGAACCATGCAGTATTTGGGCACATTTGATTCTGACAGGTCGACAGCAGAGGAACAGCAGCCTCGGGCCTGCTCTGCCTTTCGTCTGCAACCAAACCATTTTAATGGGGTTTGCCAATACTCACGGCAGAAAAGCCTGCTCAGAACTTGAGAGTTGTCCACGGAAAACCAAACTCTAGTGATCAAGACTTGATGATTAAGAAGGGACTTTTTTTTTTTAAAAGAGTATTTCTATGCAGTTTGGAAGCAACCAGCGGCGTGAGCCCTAAAGCTGGCACTCCTGGTCATCCATAACAACACATTTTGCAATAGTCGAGCATATCACTGCAAACCAGCTTGAAACCTATCTACGCCATCAGCTGGGTCAAGAATGCTTTCCAGAACACAACTGCCTGAGTGCTATGCATACACCCTTGTTTGAGTGAATCCAACTGGTGATGTAGTGTACCACAGAGATCCTGACATTTCCGTAATGAATTTAGTATTCTACAGTTGGGTTTCAAAGTAGTAAGACTATTCTGAAAGACATCGCATAACCTAAAAGGATTCGTTCAAGGTTTGTATCAAAACCAGCACCGGTTCACGAGGTGAATTTTGCATTGCAGAAAACAGACTCCCAAGAATGATCAAGGAGTTTTGGGCTGGGTAGTTTGTTGTTGTTTTTTAATCCTATTATTCAATGTCTTAATTGGGTGCAATGTGCAGCCAGTTACTCTCATGAATTGTTTGTTCTGAGGATCTTCACCATCACCTGAATCAGCTTCCCATCATGCAGTCAATATTTATTTTCTCCTTCATCAAGTTACTCTACTTCTGGTTTTGGAATCTGCGTCTAGCTATTAGTTTCCTCGATGAAACAAACAATACGTAAGATTTGTACTGGAAATCTCATTTTTCTCTGGCACCCATGCAGACAGAGAGTGCATATAGCTCAAAAACAAACTGACTGACTGACTGACTAACTCAGACTTCACCCTGTAGGGTAAATCCAATTTAATCCTGGTAAGTTTCTGGCATTGGCAAGTTTCCTGTTGGCAACTATGCAGTGTGTGACGTAAAAGTATTAATTCCACTGTTAGTGTGCCTGCCAATGCAGATACTGAAGCAGACCTCAGCCCCCAGAGGAAATGAGCTAAAGGGAAGTTTCTGGCCCTTCCCAACCCTATCACAAAGCTGGGGCTTTCATTTGTTTCACAGCCCGGCACTGCGTTCAGTATGTGGTAGCCACGTACTCCGAATGCGAGTACCGTAGCGAGTATCACAAACTATGAGAACTTAGTAAGAAACACAGTGTGCAGTGTTTTATTAAAATTAATGCTTGGCTATAAAAACTCAAGCTGTTCTGTAGCACTAACTCATTTTCAATAAAAAGCAGAGCACAGACTGTAGTTTTTCTGTCCATTACAGAGTGGTTCTCATTAACCTGCGCTCTGTTCTGTTTTATCGCAGAAATTCTTTGACCTTGAGGAAGAGAGCGCGTGCTTTCTTAAAGAACAGAAGAACACTTCCCTTCCCAAGTTAAACCGTAACAAATACGTGGTGACTGATGGAGCTGCATACATTGGTAAGTAACCACAAAAAAGCTTTTTGCCCCTATGAATCAGTTTCTCAAAAGCAACATCCTGCTTTCAGTATTTAAAAACAGACTGAAAATCTAATGCAACACACTTTATAATGTAGGAATAAACTGGATTATTAACAGTTTCTTGTTTCTGCAATCCAATGAAGATGGACTGTTCTCCAGTTCCCATCATTATTAAAGCAATCCTGGTAAATACTGTACAAATGCCTTTCATCCTCATCTTCTTATTCCATTTACTGTTAGTGACATTTCAGACACCCTCCTAACACTACGTATGTATCTAATCGGTGTTTTGGGTTAAAGGTGTATTTAAGTCAAGTCGCTGTATGACACCTAGCAAAAGTTCATTATCAGTCAAATGCTCACTGAATGCAGGCTAAAAACGACCTTTTAAAAAAAAAATCTACTTGAGCCGTGCATGAGCAGGATCAGAAATCTGCTACTGAATTAAAATGTAACTTATGAGCTTTTATAAAGTCAAGAGCTAAAACGTTCATTCTGAGATGCTGCGGCTTGATGCTGTAGTCACTTCCTCACCCCAACTTAATGCAAAGGGATGAAAGGCAGCGCTGGCAGGGGCAGGCACAGGGAGGGCGGGCAAAGGCTGCGATCCAGTGCAGCTTATTCCTCTCGCATCTCCCAGATGTTCTGAGCGCCCCCCCAAATATATTTTTACTCCATTTTAAATTCCTTCCAATAGCCCAGATTCAATTTCAGTAACCTACAACTTGTCTATGCAGCACGCATTCTTAGCTGAGTTGGTTTTTTTCTTTCCCATCACCTTTACATCCTTAGATATAAATGAAAAGGAAAAAATAATCAAAGCTGTGTGCAAGTAGTACCAATGCATGTTAAGGACCTGATATATCTTACTTGAAAGCACAGGAAGAAATGTCCCTTACGATGAGGCTTCAATTGACCATCCTTGACAACTTTAGAATTCTTAACATTTCCTGCTAATGCTGAAGTAGCTGAAATGACACTGAAAGGGTAAAAATCTCTCAGATAACTTCATGTTTTATGTATGTTTAGGTATTGTTTTAAAAGATGACCTCTAGTAACAGCATATTTTTTTTCCAAAATACTGCCTGTGTTGTAAATGTAAACTTAATAGTTGCAGTTCTAGTGAAATAAAAAGAAATAACTGATGCACTTGGTTTACCTGTTCTCCATTAATCCAGTTGCCCTCTTTGCCTTGCCATCACCAGGATTTGAAGTGCTCACTCATTACCTCAGATTTCAACAGAGGTGGCAGTAACTGGCATAAACCAGTACAGCCCGTTTCTCTTTCCTGAAATAGTATGTGCCAGTGGGTAACCTGCAATGGATCTACTGGTTTGGCTCAGCATTACGGAGAAACCGCTCTCCATCACGCCTACTTTAAATTGTTTATATGGCAAAAAAAAAATGTGTTCATTCTTGGCGCTACAAAGGCCAATGAGGAAAGTAAATGGAGTGATAATACAATATATGCAAAAGGAAGAGCGAGTTAGTTTTGGAGAAATGAAAGGACCTGTTTTCACTGTTGGACTTCCAGAAACAATCTGTGCTGCACGCTGGTAAGTAATGGAGGTTTCTTCCTTTCCTACTAGCATAGAAAACTTACTTCTGTGTCTAGGTAGGCACTAGGGGAAATGATACTGTATCATGCTGGATTGCCTTTAGGGAGATCGCTTTTGGCGTGGTTTGGTTTTATTTTTATGTTAGAAACTCATTGTATATTCCTGCCTTCACTTGTAGGTAATTTTGATTGGGTAGGAAATGCTTTTACGCAGAACGCCGGAGCGGGCCTTGTTATCAACCAAGCGGATGCGGGGAACAGCACAAGCATCATTAAACAACTCAAGGCTGTTTTTGAAAGGGACTGGTATTCACATTATGCCAAAAGTTTACAACCAACAAAAATCCCAAACTGCTTTAATCATAAACTTAATAAAGCACCATCGAATAAGACTGCCATGAGCAATGTGAATTAGAAAGACTGTTTTAGTGTCTAGTGTGGCAATGAAGAATTACATTGGGGTGTAGCCCTCTTTCATATTTACAGACAAAAGACTTAAAGCAAAAAAAAAAGTTTGGTTGGGGGGGATGTTTTTAGGAAAAAGCACACTTATATAAAAACTGTCTAAACTATATTCTCTATATTGAATTATTGAAGACTTTCAAATTTGTTACTTCTGACACTGAATGTCATTCTGCTTCCATGTAAATGTTCATGTTCCGCATTTGAATTTAAAAGCATGTGTCAATTTTTCTGCTTCAGTTTTAGGACTTTCCCCCAATTGCCATCCTGGCTAGAACGAGCCTTGAGACAAAAGCAAGACTCAAGCTATGAAATGGTGTTCCAAGATCAGTCATTACTGACATACAGGTAGATGGTAGGTTTACCGTCTTAGAAAACGTAAAGGAAAAAGCAAACTTTAACCCACATAAATAATTCCCTTTAAATAAATACCCAGTCATGCAAACACTTCCTAGTTTGGAGCATTTAGTTTGAGTATCACTCTTCCATGTCTTCTAATGAGCCTTAAAGTACACTAGGGTTACATGACTGGTCATTCATTCATCTCCTGAAAGTATGAGTAGGTTCTGAGGGACTGGGGTTGGCCTCATCAAACTTGTCATAATCCCTAAAGCCTCTCAGATAAATGGATTTTTTTAATCAAAGTAATGTGGATTCCTTTCAACACAATAGTTATTTCCAATTATTTGTGTTTCATCTAACACTGAAAGTCTCTGAATTCATAGCAAAGACCTAGGACTGGTTTTATTTTTTTTTTGTAATCTCAAAAAAATTTTTTCCCCACGTTAAATATTTATGAAGTTCAAGTCAGCAGTTGAGTGATGACTCATTACCAAACCAGTGCATATATAAAAATCAAATACTGCTTTTTAGGAAGGTCAAGGATTATGCAAAATCATGCAATAATTGCTGTTAAACTGCTGTAGTAATTCTGTTTGATTGTACACCTGGAAGTTTTTTTCTTTCCTAACTTAAGAAAAAAACTGTGAAATGGCATTTTTTGTTAAATTATCATCCACAGAGGTGAGTGCATCAGCATAAACAGAAATATGATGCCTTAATTTAGGCCACAGTTTCAGTTGGTGTTAAGAGTGTGCCTCTACAAACACAACTCACTTGCACCAAGCAGAAACTGCGCTGTAAACGTGTCAATTTGCTCTTAAAAAAACCCCAACACATAGGAATGTTTGACGATTTTTTTTCCTCCAGTCATAGCTGTAATAGCTTAGTTTGGTGACAAAAATGTTTTACTACTCTCCCTCTACTTCTGTTGCAGAAATACAGCCATGACAGCAAACATGTTAAACATTCACACAAGGCAGGCGTTTCTCACCTGGCTGTATGGCAGGAAGGCACATTTCAAAAGCAGTGGGCAAAAAGAGAAGGAAAACCAACCATGTCCCAGTGGACTATTTTAACATTAAAAACAAGTTTAGAAACCCACCTTGACTTTCAAAACCACAGGTTTCATTTACAAGGTTAAACACAAGTTCAGATTTATTTTAAAGTAAGCACAGTTTAGAAAATTCTAATAAGGTAACATAGGCACAACTTCAAATTGCCAGCTAAACACACACACAGAACTGGTTATGACTGCAAAAGGCACACTTTTGACCAAGAACGTTTGTTTCTCTGCAACTGCCAAATTACAGCATTTTACTGAAAATAATGACACAACAACAAAGTTTTAAAGTCGTCAACCATTACAGAAGAGATTCTGCACAGCTCTAATGCTAAATAACATTTTTTAATATTCAGATAAACACATGCCATTTATTAGCCTGCCCCCCCACACACAGAAAAGGATATATTCTAACATTCATATAAGACAAGTATCTAAAAAGAAAAAAGTTTCCTGAGTTGCTATGAAGGAAAGATCTTTGTGAAGATAAATTTCTGTATATAATTTAGAATATGTATGGGAGAGAGATCCTCAGCATTTAATTTACTTCTTGGGGCTTTTTCGTTTGGTTTAAGAAATAAATATTAATTTCGGGTGGAAACTCCAGCCAAGTTATACCACTAATGAATTTAGTCTTATGAGTCAAAGCTAAAAAAACCCCAGTTGAGATATTTGTAAAGCTTTTAAGGTCCCTATGGGTGGGGTGATCTTAAAGCTTAAGATGGACTTAATACCAAGTCCTGACATAAGATACAAAAAACCTCAAGCAAACAAAAAAGCCCCAGTGTCCAGAGTCTTTAATTGTAGCACCTGATGGCAATAATATACAAGAATGAATCAATGTCATTTTTTTTCCTTCTTGCATTATGGATACTACAAGTGCGTTCAGTTTTTTAAATGACATCTTGTACAAACAGTGGAGGATCTGAGTGGAACAGAAATTTGTCAGATGATAAAGCTAAGCTGTCTGTTTATAAAGCAGGATTTAGTGATGAAATCAGACTATGGAGTTACCAGTGACCTTCCATTTCATATCCCAAATGACTCAGATGCAGTAGTTTTACTGGACAGATCCTAGGGAAATACAATGGTGAATGTTAACCAGATGCATTAGTTTACAAATGCATTCTTATTGGCTTGATAAAACAAATTCTGGTGCTTCTGTGACCCTCCTCCCCAAAGAAAAAAAAAGCTCATATGTAAAAGTACATTTTAAAAGTCACAGTATGTTTTGGTTTGATGCATGGAAGAGTTTGGAGTATCTGAGCAACTTTTAATGCGAAATAGTGGTCAGCCATCCTAGAAGCAGACTGGCAGACTTTTTGGTATTAAGTATGGATTAGTATTTTATTAACTGTTTAGAATGGCAGCAGCTCCAAAGCAGTACAGAAGGCTTTGGTCTGTTACATTAGCCAAAAGACAAAGTGCATCCTTGGACTCCAGCAAGTAGGAAATTAAAAATATCAGGTTATTTTTTGAAGCTGTTTAAGGGTTTAACAATTATTTGTTCTGGGTTAGCACTGTTACTGTTTAATGAGATTTGCCACAGCAGCCTCAATTACGACCTCAGATCCTCGTACCAATGTAAACGAATCTGGAGCACATCCATTCCCGTGATTTTGCACTGGTCTAGCAGGGAGCAGAATCTATGCCTGTTTCCTCTTGCCTTCACTCTCCTGGGTACCAGCATTGCACAGGCTATTTCCACACTTAACCGGGATCTGCACTGAGTGGTTTCTCACAGACCTCACAGGGATAGTCCAAAGGATGCACTTTCTCTAACCCCTTTCTAGCTGGCATTGGTAACTCCATCATATTAAAGGCAATTTCCTAAACAGAACAGCTTTATTCTTAAAGAGTACAGACTGTAACTGTTGTTTGCTGCAAACATTTACTAGTGCCTTATTCATACAAGTTTTTGTTTAACTGTTCCTCATGTGAAGTCCTGCTAAAGATCTCGTATCTAGTCCTGAGGCATACAGCAAACTTCCTAAGACAATTACGTATTGTAATGTTTACAGGTTAGTACCTAGAGTCACAGAAAGACAACAATTTAATGTGAGATGTTGGTCCACACCACAAGGACATTTAAACCTGAGCATTTTTATCTAAGCCAAGTTCTGGAACTAAATTTCACAAATACTCCTGTCTTCATTATCAACTAATCCACAACACAGTTTATTTATTCTGTCCTGCCAAGGCATACAAATAAATAAAATCTGAATTTCCCCCAGCAACTGGCTGATACCAAAAGCATAACCAGAGAAATTCCTGTAAGGACAGGGTGAAGTCCAAAAACCACATGGTGGCTACTTCACAAATCCTGCATGGAAAGTCTCAAGTTGCTTTGGGCCAGCTAACACTTTTGTTCTGCCTGAAGCATGGACATCCACAACTACTCTCACCTTCTTTTTGAAAACCATGGATGGGCCACAGCACAACAGTCATAGCTGTACCCTGACAGGAACAAATTTGAGGTTTTTGTCACATTTTCCTTTTCTTCCTCATTTTTTTCTAAAAAAAATACATCTTTGAACTGAATTTGGGGCTGCGCTGTACAAAGTTTTCCACAACATAGGGCCAAGTGTTCCCTCCAGTAAACCCAGGCTCTGCAGCTTGTTCAGAGGAAAGCTTGAGGAGCAGGTGAAAAAGCCTCATAATGCTGCTTTTAAGACTTACCCATTCTTTGCTATACTACTAGCTACCTAATGCTACTACTTCGTTGAGGTTTGCTAACTTAAGAACTGAATAACTAAACTCTGTGTGAATGTTACCTAATTTAAGAAGAAAACCAGACAAAGAATTTATAGGGTTTTTTGTGACTTTAGTGTGTACTTACTGAAAATAGCGCAGACTTTTTCATCAAGATGGTAAAGACATCCGCTGGCTATTCCAGTTATTCAAAGTGAAGTCCTTCATAAATATCCCCATCTTGAATGTCGTGCACTTGACTCCTGAGAATGGCCTTAGAGCGCACTAAATTACCTTAAAACCATTTTGGACTTCAAAATGAATTCCTCATTTTAATACAGAAATACTGACTACATGTATACTATATTTCCATATGGTAGTTTCTGGCACTCTGTTTTTCTTCCACTCATATCCTTTCTCTACGTATATATGAATGTTTTTTTCAATCTCTGTTAATCCAATTCAATATATGTAAAAAAACAGAATGAATCCTTGGTATATTTAAAATTCACAACAATACCTCCTGAGCTGAAGGCACCAGTAACCATATTCCACTTCTAAGACTGCAGAGTATAGTAGCTTAACTGATACTGTAGAGTGATTGCTTTTCTTAGCTGTAGTTTTTCACTTTAATTACTGCTGGATGTTATTTATGAAGTTCTCAGTGTCGAATCAGGTTGCTCTTGCATCACCACTTTGCACAAATGCCTTAGAAGCTTGCCAAACTAGCATGTAACAGAGACCTCGTTCAAAATAGTTTAGACAAGAGAAGAACTCATGTGCTTCGCACTCTGTGGATGCTGAAGGCAGTAAACTCCAGTTCTGTGATACAGCAGATACTTTCTATTGCATCTCCTGTT